CTTCAACTCCCAGAATTCCCCAGCCAGCCATGCTGGCTGGGGAATTCTGGGAATTGAAGTTACACAGTTAAAGTTGCCAAGGTTGAAAAACACTCATCTATACAGTCATTTCTTTTAAAATACCTCTCCCAACTCTGCTTTTATATCTCCAAGATTCCTGACATGACTAAAAACTGAAGAGGTATAAAACAATCACAGCAAAGTTACACTGGGTTTAAACAAATTTAGCCTTCCTTGTGTTTATACTTTGGTGTCCTATTTTATTATCGCTAGGATAGCGGACACAGCAGCAAGTCTATTAAAAGTTTAGGAAACAAAGAGGAACAATTTAGAGTTACCTCTTTTATGAATAATACACAGAATGAGCCTCTTGATGATGTAAAAATTCCTTTTTAGATCCTGAACTTTTGTTTTTTAATAAAATGATCGTGCAGAACAAATATAAATAAATAGATGCTCATTTTGCTTCTCTTGGATCTCCTCAAATTTGTTATTTGGATCCTGGAATAGAATAAATGGCAATAAAATTAATACTGTATGATTGATAATGTCCACCCTCCCATCTTTTTTTTTCTCCCTCGCTTCCTAATATGGAATCTTTCTGCATAGAAGACTGGAGTGATGTGATCTAGCTCTGAAGGCCTGATTACACAATCCAATAAAATAGGCATATTTAGACTACCTATTTTTTTTCATATGGTCCCTTATGAGTCCCTTCTGAGCTTTGAGTCCCATGCCTGAGAAAGGGGAACAGTAAAAGCCGTTCACTTAGGCTATGGATTGGCCCAGTCCTGATGTGTATGCCCTAAACATCTGTTGCTCTTCTGCTGCATGTAGCAGGGAAGTGAAACTAAACTGTCTTGTTTGCCTAGTCAGTACAGCTAACTCTTTAGCTTCTAGCAGCTTTTCAAACACAATTTAGAAACTTCTCTCTTGGTAAAAGTCAAGAATTGTTAGCAATATTCAGGTGGGGGACTGAGATGGGATTAGTCAGGCACCCTTACCTGAATCTCCTCTTATCATCTTTTCACTTCCAGGTGTCTGGTTCAGGTCAGGACTAACCAGCATGAGATCCAAGATATTTGAAAACCCAGCTTCTCCAATTACAGCCTGCCTGTCCATGTCACTTGTCACAATGCTTGCATGCTGGTTGGGGAATTCTGGGAGTTGAAGTTCACACATCTTAAAGTTCCCAAGTTTGAAAAACACTTCTCTGTATCTTTTTTCCAGAGAATGTTATTGTATGGAAGGCAAGGCGGAGACTCATGAAAGGCCCTCTCAGAGGTGCCTTTTCCCACTGTTATGAGTGGTGCTAATCTGGCTTCCATTTTTAAAACTCCAGTTATTTCTTATTAACAGACGGATTTTATTACTTACTTCAAATAACTTAGCAGAAGGTTATTTAGAAGGCTTTGTAGCAAAAGGCAAGGTACAAGAGTATGAATACGTAAGATCCAGAAAAAAGCAGAAACAACTTCAGATTCTGCATTCAGCAACTTGAGAACTTCCTAATGCTTTTCCAATTATTCTATAATTTAGATTCACCCCTATACTTTCAAGGAAATAAGTTTTGTTAAACAATGACGGACTTGTGAGATAAACATGTATAGATTGCACTGATAAAAGGTATAAAGGCATCAGTAAATTGTTCCATACAATGCTTAAATTAGACATAAATCTCTTTCTCTTTTTTAGTATAGGAGTTTACAATAGTATTTTATCTTTTTTTTTTTTAAGGTGTCGGGAAATCATGCCTCTTGCTACAATTCACAGATAAACGGTTTACGGCTATTCATGATTTGACAATTGGTGAGAGTCAAAGCCAGATGGCTCTGTGAGTCTTGGTGAACCATAATTGTTGGAGATGTGCTTAGCTAGATGCTCTCTCTATGTAGAGAAAAGTTACTGTTTGTTATTACTGGACCAACAATGTACTTAGTGGAGTTAAAAATCATACGAAAGGGAAGTTCCCATGCCCCAACCTGCTTACAATATACATAGAATATCTACAATATAGATACTCTATATACAATATAAATAATGTATACAAGAGAGATGGAACATGAGAAACACAGGCAGCACACCAGGACAAGATCATTTTAAAAAATTATTTTAAGGAACATATATCTTATATCCAAAAAGAGATTAAAGCACATAGCCAACTTAATAAATTGTGCCATCCATATTAACATATCTAGCAGCAGACAACAAGAGGTTAGTTGTAGATTTAATAGACTTGAATAAAAACAAAGATCATTTGTTGCCTAATTTAAAAAATAAGTTTTTACAATGTCCTACACTTATTAAGTTTTGGGAGAAAGTAGTGGACTACATAAATATGATTGTGCGACAAAACCTAAAATATTCAGAGGATAATATTCTTTTGAACTATATACCTAGTACAT